GTGCCAGAACAGTGAACAGCCTTCAAACATCTGTTCACTGTTCTTCTGAAATGAGTAGGAACTGTGCCATCACCATATCTCCCTCTACCCGTAATCACTCGGATGTTCAAAGGACCCCTGCTTGGGGGGGGGCAAGTCTTCCACTCCATGTCAAAGAAAAGAAAAAGAAACGACCAAAAAAATATACCAAATTAATAAGAGTAAACAATACAGTGGTAACAAGGTTAACAAAATTAATCCAAACCATAACATAAAAATACACTTTTAAATTAAATAATAGTCAAATTAAACAACTTAAAAATTAAAACTTTAAAAAAGAAAGGGAATACAAACAGGTAACCAGTCCCTCCAGACCACCCCCACCCCACTTAGAAAAATAAAAAGTAAACAAGAAAAAAATAAAGCAATGGAGAAAGAAAAACAAAACAAACAACAACAAGAACACACACACACAATTTCTACCCCTCCCCAAACCATGCCTAGGTGTTAGATACTGCAAGGTCCAGACCCAGTTGTCATTGTTATAGGTATAGGAAACCCTGAAATAGGCCAGTGGCTGCTCAGAATTGTTGTGGCCAAAAGCCAGGCTCATGTTGAGTTTGCTCGACTTCCAGATCTTAAAGGCTACCCTGTCGTCCCAGCTAACTGAGCGTCTGCGCACAAGCACATAGGTGTCCGGTGGGAGCGCATGGCAGACTGGATAATCACATTATGGGAAATAATTACATTTTTTTCTAATTATATGTTCCAGCATGGTATTTATTTATTTATTTATTGAATAAATATTATGTACAGCATATGCTGCATTTCTCCCCATAGGGGACGCAAGGTGGATCACAACCACTAAAATTACAGAAAAGTTTTTAAACTACTATATAAAGATCATATTGAAAACATTCAAACATTTACTATCTTGAATAAATACAGTGTCCTGAAAGATCAATTCTGTTAGGAATCAGCTGATATACCTAGACCCCCAGCAGCAAGAGTCACATCTGCAGGGGGGAAACAGGGCCAATAAAAACAGTTGAAGATTAGTGGCATAATATATTTCAGCAATTGTTAAAGATAGTGTGTTCAATTAAAAATGGTTTGAGCTGTATCTGGCATGCTTAAATTTTAACTGCATGTCAGGATATCATCGGGGAGGGGTTTGTCTTTGTATCTTTTTGGAGAAGGAAATTTGATTTTTAAAATATCGTTTAAAGTAAAATGAACACATTTGGAGTTCCTTCAAAGGAAACATGAATAGATATGGTCGTTTATCCTCTGAGATAGTCCTTGCAGGGAATGTGAGGAGAAGGGGGTGGGCAAGAGAATGGGGGTGGCTAGGAAACCCCATCTTCTGCCAGTCCCATTACAGGTATGTTTCTCTAATACAGAACTATATGTCCTAATGTTACTCCTCCTTATGTTTAGCTTCAGTATGAAGAATGAGGTATTATACTAATGGGTTCAAAAAGGGAGTGAGTTCTGAGGAACTTGAGAGAAGTGAGGTGAAGGCAATGTCACAAAGGCATTCTGGGATAGAGTTTCAGACAAAAATAAGCAACAAAGGAGGAAAGAGTGCAGTGAATTGAGGTAACAAAAGATCTTCAGAAACATATTGATTTAAATAAAGAAAGGAGTGCTCAGTTCCACAAGGAGAATCCACTGCTGGATTTTAAAATCAGCTCAATGAAGTACAATCCAGTACGTTTTCAAGAATATTTACCATGGAATCATCTGCTGTTCTATTTTTAGAAGTTGTACTTTGGTTCTTGATTAGGCCTTGCATCCGAAGCTCCTCCAGGATATCTGATGATGTTTGCCTTTTCTTTTCTAGTAAGCTTACATGTTTCTTGGGAAGACCACCTCTGATGTCTTCTGGAAAAAAAACATTCAAATTATCATTTTTCTTAAATAAGGAAAAAGAGTTTGCTTTATTTTACTGCTATTTTTCAGTCCCTTGTTTCATATTTTCTTTAATGCAAGTTACCAAATTCTTAAAGGGTAGGGGGAGTGGAGTAGAATCGTATGCTCTTGTTTAAATCTCTAAGGGAAAACACAGAAATGATTTTGTCCATGAGAAACTGACATGTCCACAGGTCTTTCTTTTATGCTGTGCTGGTTGATGATATACTGCACCATCGACTACGAAATCCAGCAAAATTTATATGAAATGAAGAAGACCTAGAATAAGATCTCCTTTCTTGGCTAAGAACAGTCCTTTTTAGCTATTATGAAACCAATTATTACTTACTATTGATGGGGGGAGCCTACTAGCCCTTGTCCCCCTCTGCTTCTGGTCTCCTTTCTCTCCTGTATCTGGAGAGCAATGAGTTGGAACAGAAGAGTCCTTGCAGTCTATGTGGACTCTTAACGTGCATAGGCATGGCTGATTTTCCATGTCCTTCATTTATGTACAGAGTCCCCACAGACAAGCATGCTCTCCTCTTCAGACTGTTTGGCCTCCATGGGTTGGAGAGCATGACACAACTTGAAGCTGAGGAGTGGGGCTAGTGAACTGTGGTAAGTGCATCTACTTTAAAACAAATCAGCAGAACTCCTGTCTGATATCTGTTTGTTTCTTCCCGGCTACGGTTTCATACATTTCTGCCCCAAACTGACTGTGCTGGCATTTTCTTTACATTTCGGTATCTATCATAATGATTTTAGATTCTTAATTATTTTAAAACATATTTACATTAGCTTGACTTTCTAAATTTATAAACTGTACTTTCATATTAGCATGCTCAGATACCCAGAAACATCAGGATAATGCCATCATCTAACAAAAAATGTAGCATCAATCATATTGCCTTCAAGACACACATTTGTCCATTCCTTTCTGTTTATTTGAAATTGTAGACCCTCTATAGATCGTAACAAGTTAGGATTCTTTTATATTTAAATATAAAGAAAAAATTTTCACCATACTTTGAAATTGTCTCCAGTTTCCTGATGTTAGGGCATACCCTAAGCTATTTCTGGGACCCATTCCGTTGAGTTCACTTTGTACCACAAAAGAACCTCTCAAATTTCATGGCATACATTTTGGTTTAAGAAGAAAAGCATACAACATGCTGCATATTTCATGCCAGCAGTATGCACGTATAGTACAATTCATAAGGTACCTCACAGGATCTTTGGCACTAGTACAGAAGATGCATGGTTTAAAAGAATCCTTATCAAAAAGCTGTACTCCACAGACTTCTATCGGAATGCTCCCAGGTCAAGAGTTTAAAGACTACTATCTGTCGCAAAATACTGTAACCCTCGTACACCAGGACAGGAAAACTTCAGTTCCTCTAAGCTTCATTTTGTTATAGAAGCTGCATAGAACTAGACTGACAAGTAATTTATTCGACATCTGCCCAGCTGTAACTATTCCAGCCACTAACCTTGTACTGTACTTAAAAAAAAACACAGGTAAAACCTAGCTGGAACAAAAAGAAAAAGAAAAAAGAAAGCATTTCAACAAATCTACTACATTTTCCCTTGGGCCACATTTTTGTTTCAGACGTAGTATTGGGACCAAAAAGAGAGAGGACTCATTCTTTTCTTGTTATCAACACAAATGTAAGACATTAACAATCCACACCTGTAATCTGTTCATTATTTTCTTCTTTAGCTGATGAGAACTTTTCTGTACTAACTTCTGGCAAACTTCTTTGACACGAACCATCTTTGTTTCTTGACTGACCTTGCGATATAAGGCTAATTGTTCCAAGAGATGCAGTCTCTTCAGCCTAAAAACAACACTTACATTTAATTGTTTTGCTAATAGATGCAAACTGATACTTTAAATATTGCTACAGTACATTTCACTGTAGTTAGGATGACTGTGGACAGATAATCTGTGTACCTGCTCACATTTGCTACCCATGTACCATTGGCTGATGGACATCAAAGCCCATGCTCTCCTTGAGGTTTTTGAACTTTAATTTGGGCATGGACTGGATAGACTTTCAGACTGCCCTCCATAAAGTGGAACGTATTTTCCAAGATCATAGCTATTTTGCCCTGTCTTGCTTTTTATCTAATCATTCTTTGTTTGATTTGTATTACGAACCCCAAAATTTGCTGTCTCCATAACCCTGTGGCATATATTTGCAATACCTTTGTGATGCTTTGCATTACAGACACAAGTGTGTTAATAACAGGTTCCAGTAACGAAGTATATTGGGATGTATCTTGTTTTAGGGGATAAATTGCAATCTTTCGAGGTGCTTTGGGGAGCTATGTGGGGACACAAAAATAGATTTTGAGACTACAGAAAGCCCACAAGTTGCATGATTCCTACTTTGATCTAGAGGATCAAAGGTTCCGTATCCATGATCTAAGTAACAATCTACATCCTATCATGTGCAGAAACAATTTGTTGCATATAATTTTAACTACCACCCTTGTTGTACATGTATTCTGCTGTGTTTTTCCTGGATTATAGTTTGCAGTTTTAACCTATTCTGTGCTATCGTCTAGGAGTTTTTCCAGAAGGGCAGCTCATAATACTACACATTTGTTGTTGTTCAACTGTAAGCTATATGCAGACTTGTAACTGGAGTTGCTTCCAGACAGACATTGTCCAGCTGTTGTTCCATCTTTCCTTCCTACTTGGATTTCTGTGGTCATGGATGGCCTCTTCCAGAAGAAAAGGGGGAATAGCTGTGCTGCGTCTTTTGACATGTAATGCTAGGAGCCATCTATTCAGAAGCAATTTCAAACTCCTCAGACAAATGTTTGAAGCAATATATGTTCTATACAGTGCCCAGCATTCTGTTGGTGCTGAAGAAATGTTAACCAACAGCTGCAATCGTTCTTACACTTGTTCACAGCATGACTTCCATGGAAGTGAAATTATATCTCTTTATCCAGAAGCCGTCCAAGACATTTCACACTGTGTTGCAAGATAATGTCTCTCCCCATTCTTTTCACAGAATCTGATCAGACTGGAGGTGAAACTATATATTACAGATACCCATCATTAGAAGCAGGAAATCTGTTAGGGTTTGGCAAAGTGATTCAGGCAGACATTCAAGACTGAGCAACTATATTTGGAAATGAAGTCCATCTTTATGTCCAAAGACTAATCACAAAACAAAGCAAGTGAATTTGGGAGGTATGAGAATATCCTGAAGTGACCATCAGTCACTCTTACCACTTAAGGAATCCCTTCTTCTAATCTCACCTGTCTCTGGTTTATAGTTTTGCCCTGTTGGTTGAATTGCACTTTAGCAGCAGAGTGAGACGGTGCCCTCCATCACCTCTAAGGGTAGCAGTCTTGCATAGGAGGCACATTGAAGGCTGCATGGCACAGATAAGAATTGTGACTAATTCCTTGCCACCATTCCTTGTGTCTTACCATCTGCCACCTGGAAAAAACCATCTTGGCCTATTTAATAGTATATTATTATATTGACTACTGCTAATTTTCAGAAAAGGAATGGTGAGGGTTATTCACTGGAACAAGTAGACCGTCAAATTCACATTTTTTCCTTGGAGTATGCCACATGGGTGATGATGACACAGTGTAGCATTTCTGAGACCTACCGTATTTTTCTGCGTGTAAGATGAGACTTTTTACTTAAATAATTGGAACAAAAATTGAGGGTCGTTTTATACAGGGCAGGCAGCCGCTTTCCCTGCCTTTTGCAAAGCTACAGAGTAAAGCAGCCGTGAAAGGGCAGCACACTCACACCCCTTTGATCCTGAAGCAGCCATGAAAGGGCATCAGGATCAAAGGGGGCCTGCACGTGCTGCCCTTTCATGGCTGCATTAGCCATTTCCTAAGCTCCACAGGGCTTAGAAAGCGGGAAAGGCAGCCGGGAAAGGGCGCGAGAATCAAAGGGGCGCAAGCACACTGCCCTTTCATGGCTGCATTAGCCATTTCCTAAGCTCCACAGGGCTTAGAAAGCAGGAAAGGCAGCCGGGAAAGGGTGTGATGATCAAAGGGGCGCATCAGCACGCACGCTGCCCTCAAATTTTCTAATTCTAATTAGAAAAGGGGGGGGTCATCTTATACTTTTGATCCTCTTGTAAACAGAAAAATACGGTATATTTTCTGACTCCATTCTCACATACTTTTCAGGCTTCTACTTGGCAATATAACAAGTATTAGAGAACTGGGATATGCCCAGTATAAGGATGTTCAGAATTGGGGGATATGGATTTAAGATTATGGTTTACACACACATATGCGTTACCTATTGTTATATACTCCAGGCGGCAGTTTAACATGACTTCAAGCAGATGCAACAAAAGGACCCATCTGTGAAGTGATTCAGGATCTGTCCTCTAGTCCAGTGGTCCCCAACCTTGGGCCTCCAGATGTTCTTGGACTTCATCTCCCAGAAGCTTTCACCACCACCTCTGCTGGCCAGGATTTCTGGGAGTTGAAGTCCAAGAACATTTGGAGGCCCAAGGTTGGGGACCACTGCTCTAGTCTTTAAAGTATTCTTCAAAAAATAAGAACCTGTGAGAAAAACCCTTTAGTGATCCTTCATGGCCTGAAATTTCCTCCACTTTTGTTAGATACTCATTGGCTGTGGAGAAAGGACAGAATGATGTCCAAAGCTATTCTAGATTGACTTGAACACCAATTGAAGACCAAACATCATAGAGTATTTAGCTGGAGATAGTCAGGTTGGAAACAATCTGGAGGACCGAAAGGGTTTGTGAGAATGAGACACAAGATTACAAAGACACCACCATTCTCCAATAATCTCTTATCTGAAGGAAACTAAACCTTGTGGCACTGACCTTAGAAAATTTCAGTTTATAGAGCTAGAGAACACCTAACAGTAGATTACCTGATTTTGAGCTTCTCTGTCATAATGTGGATTCTTGGGTGGTGATCCCTCAACAGTTACCCTGCTGGAAGTGTTGCAGCCCATGGTGCAGTAAGTGCTTGCTTTTTGAAAGCAGAACAGCCAGCTCTGACTCCTGTTTTTCACAGAAACCATGCAGGCATTGCAGCATCACTATGGACTTAAGCTGTTGCCAAGGCCTGTTGCTACAATACATTGCACGCAGAAAAGAGCTTTTGTCTAAGGTCTAGCACAGTGTAGCACTCAGCATCCTAGCCTAAGTGACGGTGTACAAGCATGAACCATTGTCTTAGGCCTGATGTGGACAACAGAATGACACTTTCAAACAAAGTGGTGAATTATGCATGGCTCCTAGCTAGCCCAGTTAAGGACAGAAAACACATTCCGGTCCTGGTTTTTCTCACATTTTATCCAGATGCATTGTCTTGGTTACAGCAAACAAAGCATTTTAAAATATGGTATCATTGGATACTCCAAAGGAAATGGCTATTTTGGTTTATCTATACTAGCAGAGAAGGTGTGTCTGTGTCAGAGCAATAGCTCCAAGACCAAGAAACCTAAATGCCTGAAATTTGGCATGAATGTTAAGGAGACCCTGGTGGGAGTGGAGCTTCTGTGATCTGAAAACACCTTAGTTTTTCCTAATTTTTAAAGTGCCATGTGTTTGAAACTTGGAGCAACATCTTCAGTTATTAGGTGGCCAAGCTCCTTAAATAATGTGTAGTTTTGCAATGAATTCAAACTCACAAAGGCATAGAGGCAGGCACAGAGTTCAAGGCCTGTCACCGATCCAAGCTGCAGTGAAACATTGTTCATAGGTAGGGTGTGGGATGACTCTACCCTCAAGCAGCTGTAAGGATAAACCACAACAAAGATTCCAACAGCTAGGGCTTCAGGTAGATGTCCCAGCTCTGACAGGTGCATAACTTTGCCTGAATATATTAATTTGAAGACTGATCTATGACAGTAACATAAGATGTGCCTCTGTCTGTGAGAGCCATAATTTCAAAATCATGCAACCCATACCTAAAAGTTGAAATGTGCTAAAGCGACCCTAGGAAAATGTATCTGAGGGTTATTTTAAAATTAATGAATTATTAACTAAATAAACTACATCCATATACTGTATTTGTTTCTATAGAATCTGAACATCAGCTCTTCTCTCTCTCTTCTGTCCTTTAGCTCCAATCCTAAAGATTCAGACAAACCAAAAGCAAATATCCCTCTCATCTCCATTACTCAGGTTGATCTAGAAAAAGCAGTGCAATGAATGAATAAAACAATGAGAGCTAATCCCACACTCTTATCCAGCCCTCAATACAAGTATTTTCAGAAAGAAAGGACTTGCTACACATCTTAAGGCATGAGTGGGCAGATATTAGATTAGAATATACTGCTACATCAATGGGAGTCTTGGAGTAGATTACTGAGAATTTTTGACTCCCACTTCTTTAATGATGTCAACAGCAAAATACTTCCCTCTTACCAGACAATTATTCAGCTGAATATTCAGCAGTTATACTGCTGGAACTAAGTAACAGAGGGTAACCAAGAATGGTTTTTTTATATGAATGGTGTATGATGTTGATTCAGTTCTGGAACTGAAAATGTCTGGTCTCAAAACACTCACCCTCCCTCCCTCTCCACAAGGATCTACAAGTAGATCTTGGGATTCTGCTAAAAAATGAACTATAACTATCATACATTAACACACACACTCATTGTAGGAAGCATTAGCAGTACTTCAGGAGGGACTGCTATTTCTGAATATAAATAAGCATTAACACCCAATCTATAGCTTCATCTCTCTTTTTTTTTTCATAAGGAAAGAGGACCAACTTGGGTCACTTGAGATGCATATCCCATGCGGATGCAAGGACCACACCAAATGGCACACTGGGCCTCTACTTGACCTTAATTGACCCTATTTAGCCCACTCCAGCCTGCTCCAAATGAAGCCGTGTAGACAAGCCCGCTTCAATGTGTATGACATTGAGGTAGCAATTTCTTATTACAATACTGTACTGTACTTCATATTGTGCATATATACTAAAAACCAGTAGAGGGCAACAATATCTCAATATAGAAAAGCAGCCAAAGCAGCCTTGCTGTATTGCTCATTTCATCTTGTTTGTTTTACTGTAATACATAACAAAGCATAATGTTTAAAAGCATGTAACGTAATTCGTTCTATACTCATTGGGTTTTTTTTAATACGTATACAAAAGCGGACCTGCCTGAATGCTTAAAAGCATATTTCAACCCTCTCCACTGATAGAAATCAATGTACGGTGTCATCGTCAAAAGTATAAGACTCATCAGGAGATATTTGCTACATAAGGGTTTGGAGAGCAGATTCCTGATTTCTAAATCAGATTGTCAAATCCAGTTGTGATCAAATGTGGCAAGTGTTTTGCTGCCTGATGCTTATGAGTTAACTGATTTACACATTCAGGGCATTATATGGAGTTTGAATACAAGCATCTTGCGCAGCCAGGGATTCTCTGCTGGTCATTTCTTTTCTTGCCTTGGATAGAATCCGCTCTCCTATGAGGTGAGGTGCCAGTACATTTCCTACCTCAGTTGGCAGAATGGGAAGGACAACACATACCACAGAAACTCCCCTGCTGGCCAGTTTCTGTAACTGCCTCCTTGCTATATCACTATGGTATGTGCTCCAGAGTGCCTTGTTGACTTCGCTGTACAACTGCTGGAAATATGGGCACAGGCAGTCTCCACAGATGCCTCCCTGAAAGCATCTGGCTGTAAGGAACAAGCCCTCTCTTTGTGGTCAGCTTTCTGCTGCCAGGGTGGTTCTCAAGAGAACCCATCTGCCTTGTTTCTTGCTTGGGAATGGGGTTGTCCTCGGAGAAAAATATTGAAGTGGTGGAAACAATGGCGGGACTGGCAGCAGATTTCAGGTGGTGTTGAAGTTTGTGCCCAGTGGTCCTCGGTAAAACTTTAAGGCTGCTAGCAATGTGGCCACTAGGCTGCCACCTAGAGAAAATGGTGCTCTGCATAAGGCATGCCTTGAATATCCTTCTCTGCATCTTCCATGTTTAAGACTTGCTTTAAAAACTGCACCTGGAGCCCATTTCTCAGCTTTAATATGTACGCATGGTTTATCCCTATCATTAATCATCATCATCACTATCACCATCATTATCATCTCAGAACTGTAAAGGTTAGAACTGCAGAGTATTATCATCATCTTAGAACTGCAGATCCATAGATCCGTATGGATCATTGAGTCCAGTCCCTATCAAGGAGACACAGTAGAGAATTGAACTCCCAACTTCTGACTCTGCAGGCAGATGCCCAAGCCACTGAGCTACCCACATTTGCATGCAGACTCAGGAGGCAATGTAGGATGAGACATTTTCTCTTGTCATTTCTCCCCAAGGAGGTCTTGCTCCAGAACACATAATGAGACTCCAGCACAGTGGATATAATAAAGCCCTGCTCTATTCACATTTAGCACATACCAGGGAATATTCGCTGAAAGAGCTGCACTGGTAGGAACTGGTCCAGCTCTGACTTGAGTTATATACTGTAGGCTGAAATCCTTTTTGTAGCATAAGCTCAGTCATAGCTTTCTGCCAGTTCCTCTCCCATAAACAGAGCACCCCTGCTGTCATTCTTAGGGTTATACATGCACATGACCCAAGTCAGCCATTTGTGGATCAATGTTAGATCATGGGCCTGGGACCCTGCAACAAATTACATACTTACACCTGCATGTGATAAAATTCTCCAGCACTCTACTATTCTTGAATGGAGGTCTTCCATAAGCTGGAGCAAATCTCAGGTCTCTACCCAAGGACTATCAACTCAATAGAAGATTAAGATCTAGAATATTGCTCTCAAGGGAAATGTCCATTTATGTACTGGGCACTCAAATTACTTTTACAAAATGTGGTCCCTATTTGTTATTCATTAACTATACAAATACAAATGAGAAGCTTACATTCTCCTTCCATGTATCCTTGATCTCTGAAAATAATTAATGTATGAATTTGAGGCTCTGCTAATTGATAGCCTTCTGTATCTTGGTGCATTTGCCCTCTATATGTTAATGAATTGTTGATTATTTGTTATTGGTTCACTTTTTAAAGCAGAGCAAAGCTTTGGGCTACATCGAAGTCTAGTGCTACCCAGAATGGATCTGCTGATATGAATGTGCCATTTAGTCACATTTAGTTCACAGAGTGAATATGCCCTGTTGATTTCAATAGATCTACTCTAGACAAGACTATAGTTTTGGTCCAGACTCCTGAGCAGAGATTGGCTAAATTCATTTTGGAACATAACTCCCAAGTCAGACCCTTCAACTCAAAATAATGTCTATACTTTGCTGGATAATTCTTTAAGTTCTCCAAATAACTCATTTTCCAAGCTCTGCTACTGAGTCAGTTTTGTACATCTTCATTTGCTGCTTTCTTCATTGAAAACTTGTTCATCTTTGTGAGAAGATTTGTTTGTTTGGTTTGGTGTTTTTTTTTTTTTTGCATGACTTCAGTTTTCCACTCAGCACTAAAGCTTCTAATCAGAGGAAGGACTTGAACATGTCTTTTTCTTAGCTTAGACTACTTGGCATTGTGGATATGGAGACAGAAATGAGTATTTCTCCATGTGCACCAGTTTCTCAGAACTCCCTGGAACTGACATAGGTCCTGATTTCTGAATAATATCTGAAATCAGAATATGTTCTGAGTTCGGAAAAGTGGAAGAGAGATAGTATGTGCACACACGTATGCCTAGTTTAATGGGAGAGACACATGTGTGTATGTGTGTGTGAGAGAGAAAGAGTGAGAGAGTGAGTGAAAAAATGAGATAGCATGCACTGTGACATGAAAACACCAAAACAAAAACAAACTAAGAAAAGGATTAAAAGTAGCAAAATAAGAGATTATCATTGTATGCATATATTAATTTGAGTGAAAGTAAGTAGGCAGGTGTGGCGGCGCTGTGGGCTAAACCGCAGATGCCTGTGCTGCAGGGTCAGAAGACCAAGCAGTTGTAAGATCGAATGCACGCGACGGAGTGAGCTCCCGTTGCTCTGTCCCAGCTCCTGCCAACCTAGCAGTTCGAAAGCATG